ATCTCTATTTTTTAATACAAAAGTTAGTTTGACTTTTAATGTGATTCTAAATATATAATCTCAATATATTTTATCTTTCATATTTATCTATTTTTTTAAGATATTCTTTGTAGCAATTGCATGTGTTAAAATTTTCATCCAATAATAGTTTTAACTAATACAGATGATTAGTAAGGGTATTTTAGGGAGACAACACTAATTTATTATAAATGACTAACTTAATTAATTTTTTTAATTTACTTAAATTAGTTAACTAATTCTTATATTGAGAATCGAAAGTAGTATTTTCAAGTCACTGGGTGGGTGTAGTTGGACATCTATTTTAATATTTTCAAGTTGCTCGGTGGGTCTAGTTGGACATCTGTTTTATCTGGCTTAAAAAATTTAACAATTAGTGCGGCTTAAAGTACTGTATGATTAAGGACCAGAGGCTTATTGCCAAAGCAATCTGAATCATTTCTTTGTCTTTCCAGGGATATAGCGTACTCATTTTAGGCCCTGATCTTCTAACACGGATTAAGTACCCGAGCAACAGACTAATTCGAATTGGAGGACACAGATTAAAGGGGGGTTCCCATTCGGTGCTCATTAGGTGATGAGCACCCAATGCTCATCACCTGATGAGCAATCTGGACTGTCCAAATCTAATTTGGACAGTCCAGATTTAATATTATTAAATAATTATTTTAAAATAGAAAAAATTATATTTTTAAAGAATGATAGTTAAGAGATTATCTTTATTTTTTATCATATACCTATTAAAATAATTATTTTAAAAAAATAAAAATAAATCTGGACCGTCCAGATCAGATTTGGACAGTCCAGATCTGATGAGCATTGGGTGCTCATCAAAACTGATGAGCACCCAATATAAATCCGATTAAAGGGTTAGCTCTTCTACCTGTATATGCGTTTTCCGAAAATTGAATTTATACTCTCATTCTTGTGCGAGGCCTTGGCCGCTTATCACTGCACCAAATATTTGCTCGTCAATTTGAGTTTTTAGTATTAACTCTGGTTCTATTTATAAGTCATCGTTTTTATACTATAAACGAAGTCTTATAATATCCAAATAAGCTTTTATAATTAAGACCGGAGGTAGTACACATTCACAAAATAATGCTTTAAAAGGGATAGTTTTACAAAAGAAAATTTGGCTGATATGGAACGAATCTAAAATCATAGTTGTATTCATACAATTTTTGCCATTATTTTTCCTTGAATTCACTCTATACTTAGTTTTGGAAATGTAGAGTATATTAATTATGACAAGGAGAAAGTGAAAGCCAGATGAAAAATATAACAAGAAAAAAATTGAAAAAAGAGGAAAACAAATCAAATATCATCAACAAATTTTGAATTAATTAAGATAATTGGTCAGAAAGATTTGAGATATCAAAGAATGTCACTAAATGGTGAATAGTATAGCGCACAACCTTTTCTCCCAATAATTGTTCAAATACAAATAATCAATACATAATATTACGAATACCAGAGATCTCTTCACGCTCTCGAGTTTCGACTTTCGACCATGTCTTCACGAATGCTTCTCATGAAGATTAGTTCTCTTTTCTATCGTTACTGTGGCCTTGCATTAAAAGAAAAACTAAATTTTGGTATAATTTTTATCACAGTGAACAATATTCCTTTAAATATTTCAAAATATTATTCATTTTTTTAATTGAAATCATATTAAAAAAATTTTAAATTGAAATTATTAAATTTCCCTCAAATGATAGAATGTCTGGTTTATCCACCGTAACAATCGAAGAATGAGTAATTAGCGCCAACGTTTTCATGACGGCGGCGTTATGTCACGCCCGTTTCTCTCCAAACCAACGCTCCACGTCAAGCTCGCCTGAGGATGAAATCGCCCTCAAAAACCTTGGTGACCTCATTAAACCCAACCCTCTCTTTGTCCTCTTTTTGTTATACCGATTAGATTATGCAACAAATGATTTCCTTGTGCTTCATGGTTATGAAGAGAGGAAAATTGGAGGAAATGAGAGGATAAGAGAAGGAGTGGAAGCTTGAGTTGAAGGTGCTATTAGAGGAAACAAATAGGCATGAATTGATGTTATGGCTATAAGGTAAATGTTTTCCTCTCCTTGAGCATCAGGTCTCGCTTCTGTTTAAGGTGCCATTTAGTGCCATTTTCCTTTCTGATTTTAGGCTATGATAAATACAGCAGATTGAAGGATAAATGGTTGGGAGAAAAGATTGTAAAACCGCAGTTACTGGACTAAAGGAAAACTCACTCTCATGCTTGCAGGATTTGCTCGCACTCTAAAGGGAGGTTTGAGGTCTATTAAGCTTGTAAATTCTGTCCAAAAGTCAGCAGCTGATGATACAATAAGGGGCATGACTGGGGGGCAATATTCTGAATTTTAAAGATATCTTTCTTGCACCATTTTGATAGATGATTGAGGGGCTTGAAAATCTTTTTTGACGATTATTTCTTCGTTGTAAAGTCTTCTACGAGTTGGCTTTTTAATGATGAAAATTTGTGATTTCAATTGGAGGAAAAAATAGATTCACATGTTGCAAGTACTCCATGTTCTCTCTTTAAAGAATGAAGTCAGTTAGAGTGGGATGGCCATAAAAAAAGAAAGTTATAGTGGATTGTGGAATTTTGGGGATTTAATTTGCTTGTGAGTGATGATATTTAGTTGTGATTAAGAAATGAGTTGAAGCATGGTTTTCCTTTAAGAAGCAATGTGCAGCAAACGGGGATATACAAGTACAGCATTTAAACCCTCGTAAGATCCTGGTTAGTTTGAGGGTAAAATTGTGGTGTAGAAATGGAATGTGAACTTGGCTAATTTCTGAATCTCTGTTGGGCTCTGTTTTGTGTTGCTTTTGGGATTGCTAAAAGGCTTAAATAGTGTTGTTGTTTTGGGACTGCATCTTTGTAAAAACATTTTTCCATTCTTTGAGCAATTTTGTGAACTGGTTTTGTTGATGAAGGCTATTTCTGGTTCTGCTTTGTAACCATATAATGTGCATAAATGGTGATGCATTGGTATTCTTTTGAAGCCATGTAGGAGCTAAATGTTAATAGGCTTTTTGGTGCTGCTTTGTTGCTGATTTGTGGACAAAAAATTTGGAGGAATTTGTATTTTTAAAATATGACCGTCGCGGTGACTAAAATATGTTGTGGAAGTGCTCAGACAGGAGTGATAGCATTAGAAATATACGGCTACTGGTTTGATTTGTACAGATTTAAGTTGTTAAATGTGATGGTTATATGGTTAAATGGTAATGAAAGTGGTTCTGAATGTGGTCCAAAAATTTGGAATGGCAGTGCTTATGATAAGTGAAATCAGTGGACTGATATAATGCTAAACTTTCAATCGGCACGCATGAGGAAGAACTAGTACGGCAAATTGAGCTGCTAAACTTTTGGGTACGGTTTGATATGAAGCATTAAAAATGAGAGATAAGAATTAGGATTGAGATTGAGAAAATAGTATTTAGCATGAGAGATTACTTATTACATGGGACTAAACAAACACAAGTATGCGGGTTTAGGAAATATCATAGGGGAAAGTGGTATTCCCCAATCCTACTTCCATGGGTTTGCCTAATTCCATGGAACCAGTAATTACTTATGCTAAAGACTTTTAATGATTTTTTTTTAATTGCAATCCTAGTCCCTATCTTTTATTTTCAATGCTTAGTACCAAATGGGACCTTAGTGTCTGTTATGGAGTACAATTGATGCTCTAGACTTTGTTTCTTAGAAGATACCATATGAAGTATCTGATTAAGTGTGATATACCGGTTGTTTAGTCTGTGCAATTTGGGATGGTGCTGAACCTTAATTTTAGAACAAGCTATCCACAGCCTGAAATCAAGGATCTATCTGCTGCAGATGGTGTATGAAAGGCCTCATTGTCAGAGTAAACATTTAGAGTTGTGGCGCCAACACTAACACAAATAGGACTCACAAGGAGAAGAGTTTAACACAAATAGGACCCATAAATAATGTTTAGTTTGCTTCAGACGGAAATTTAGCCCTCCAAGACTTGATGCTGTCAGGTGGAGATACCCAACTTAGAAGGAAGAGTAAAAAGTATGTTTAGAGAGGTAGGTTTAGGAAGAGATGATCAGTTTAATGGCAAAGGAAGTCAGGTGGAGTGATTAAGGAACTAAAGTTCAAATTTCCCCTGATTTGTCAATGTATTGAAGATAGATATTCCATCATTTTATTTAAGGTTGTATACTTATATAAGTAAGTACAACGACAATGAAGCTAGGCTTTATGTTTTGCTGGCAAATTTGATCAAGGGGACTAGTTTAAGGGAAATGTTTACTCCATTCTCATGTTTGGACACAGTAAATGACCAATTATGACTTAATTTTGCAGTGATTTTGGTTTGACTTCTTTCATAGGCTGGTTGTAAGTACAATAAAATTTAAGTCAATGTTTTAGAGTTCAAATTGTGAAAATCTGGAATAACGTTTGAAATGGATTAATTAGTACAAGTTCATGTATTACTAAGCTTACTTCTATCCGAGTAATTTTTTTCTTCCCTGTAAGATTGTGATATTAAATACTGAAATGGATTAATTAGGTACTGACAAGTTGTTGACCATGCAAATATCAATATTTTCATTTTTTTTGGGCGAAAAGTATTAATATTCTCATGGACATCTGCAAAAGATAGTCAATCTTCACAGACCATATATGCATATATGGAAGTGTTACTCCCAGACGGGACAAAACAAAAACTTGAATTTGTAAGCCATAGGTTAAATGATGACAACATATATTAATAGAACACAAAGAATGGTTTTGCAACAAAATCCAAAATAACATATACAGACACCATATACATCTATGAACAAAAGTAAAAAATAAAAAATATTAGAGACTTGATATATATCTATAGCAGTAACCCTTTATGCACAGACCCTATTATATGCATCTATAGCTGGGACCATATACACAAACCCTATTGCATAATGTAACAGTGACCACATACACAGAAAGCGTATCATTGGCAGATAAAATCATCTTCCTCAGAATCTGGATCCTGCATCTTCCAAGTACCATCAGGTTGTTGTACCAATCCTTTGTTTTGGTCTATCCTCCATGCCTTGGGAATATGGTACTCATCCTTCAAAACACCCAAGTTCTTGTTCACAAGTGCGATGTCCCTATTAACCTCTAACTTGAATCCTCCTTTCTTCCCTTGTGTTCCAGCAACTCCATGCAAATAAACTTCCAAATTATGCCAAACTTTCACACCCCTTGAATGCTTTAGAAAGTTGGATTTCAGAGTATCAATTTCCAGCTCTTCTCCGACATCTGCATAATGCAAAATAGGTAGCCTAGGTACAATATCTTCTTTATTCCGAATGCGTAGTGTCCGGAGATCCTTTTGAGCAGAGAAAAACTTATGAAACTGTGAATCTCCAACCCGTGGACTGGCAAATACAACTGCTGTAACTGGGCAAGCTTTCTGAGATTCATCTTCTTGGATGTTAAAGCCATTGCTGACTATATCTACTGCATTTAGTGTTGCCAATGCAGCACCTAAACTATGACCTGTCACTGTTATGCTGATTTCTTCACCTTTGAATTTACGCAGGAGTCTTTTGATCTCAGTTAAGACCTGCACAAAATTAAGAGTCCAACAAAATGCAATAAGTTTAGGCTCTAAATAAAATGTAGTATCTGAAATTATAAAACTCAACTATGTACAGTCTAGCCTATGAAATAACAAAAAGAATAGTCTTTTATTGCATGTTTGAATTTATTTTAACTTTTTTTAACATTGCAGAATGTTAATGTAAATTAATAAATTATAATAACTGATTGCCTGGGTTTGCACGCTTGTTCTGTTGAAGAATACTGGGTTTGTTGTTGTGTAAATGGAATAAAAACCTTGATGCACTTTACACTTGGCTTCATGACCGAAAATACGCGGAGCGTCACCAAGGAAGAACTGAAAATCCTTAATCCATTCCATGATTTGGTCAGTTCCTCTCCAAGCAATCACAATGTCCCTCCTCCCTAACATAGCTTTGCCTTCGTCAGTAGCCACAGCAACATACCCAATCCAATTCGATTCTTCAACATCACCATATATAGGAACATCAATCTCTACAGTTGCATATAGGAACTTTGTTACCTCATACTTGAAGGGATTCCCATTCTCCAAACCCACCTTGGAGAAGAAATCTCTTTTCCCATAACGACACCTTCTGGCATATTTGGATGTTTTATCAGAGATAAAAGCATCGTAAGTAGCTTGAGCCATTTCTCCATAGTGTATTATATATCTTCGAAGATCAACATCAAGTGGGTCAAGCAGACCCTTCCAGTGATTTTCACCACTGAGTTCTCTCCAATTAGCAGCAATGTTGCTTCTTGGCCTGATCATCTTCTTCTCCTCTACAAGTTGATCAACCACCTTCTGAGGATGACAGCTTTTACTGCTAACGCAGCCCATCTTCTTCTTTTTCTTCTTCTTCTTCTTCTTATTTTTCTTCTTCTTCTTGTTGCTCTTGGTGTGTCTGAAATGAACTGGTCTGTGAAGTGTAGTTTGATTTATGATGGGAAGGACTGGTTTTGCATTCCTATATACTTGGAATATGGATGACGTTGCACTCCTGTTTGGAAAAGCATTTCCATTTACTGTGTCTGTGTTTGCTAATTGATTTACGAAGATGTTTCCTATTTGTAATTTCTTAATTGATTTACTAAATTATTTCCTAATTGATTCACTAAATTGTTTCCTATATTGTAGTTTCCTAATTGGTTTACTAAATTGTTTCCTAATTTGTCAGTCCCAGTCTGCTTACTGCGTTTCCCCCCCCCCCCCTAATTGGGCGTACTGATTACGGATAAGTTTTAAACAAAACATCATAAAATAAACAAAAATAAATATTAATATATTAATAATGAATTGATAACTTTTATTATCAGCATATAATTATATTTTGTCTTCCACATTTTATTTAGCAACATTGCTGTTTAATAATGAATGAGTTTTTTGTTTTGTCAATAATAATGAACGATTGTAAACTTAGTCAACGAATTCCTTGTTGAAAAATGAAACACATTTTTATTATTCTCCTTAATCGCCCAGGGCTTGAGTCAAGTGAGAATTAGCCGTTAATTTGATTATGACCGTTGGGAAATTGGGCCGGATAAGGATGTATTGGGCCCTATTCTTTGTGCCTTTATTAGGCCTGACTGCGTTAGAAGAAAATTAATACCCAATTCAATATATTGTTTTTAACTCTAAATTAATACTATTTTTTTAAACTTATAAGAAAATTTAAAAATTATATTTTTGTATAATTTTATAAATATTTTATACAGATTATATTAGATATATTAAATCTAATTCAAAATTAATTTTGCAAATGTTACTTTTCTTTTTTAATTCATTTTTAAGTACATGTGTTTGTAAATAGACGTCAACATTAACTGCCAGAAATTAATTAAAATGATAAATCCAAAAATTTAATTTTTATAAAAAATTGTCTTCAAAATGTTAAACATGATAATATTTTAACAGCCAATATATGTATAATTTTCATTTTCAAAGATTTTTCCACGACGCTTGACGATAAAAGATTTGCTTTAATAGTAACTTTGTTTGTGATAGATCGTTAAAACATTTCACTTTTAGAAATTTTGAATACGAGTAACTGACATTTTTATCAATGTTTTAAAAGTACCGAACGTAATAATTAGATAAATATTTAATAAATAACATATATATATGATAATTATATATAATAAACTTCAAATGAATCTAATTTTTAATCTAATAATATTACAATATAAGAAAATTTAAAATATAAAAATAAAGATATGCTAACAAAAATTATGAACTTTTGATCGCTTTGTCTTTATTTGGTTATGATATTACTCTCTTTTATGTTTAAAATAATAATAAAAATTTTAATATATTAATTTATAATTTAACCATAACAGAAGATTAAAAAATAAATAATTATTATTGAAGTTGTAGTAAAAAAGATACGGCTATATTTTCAAGTGATTATGTTCTAGAGAACTTAATTAAAAAAAAGTAAAAATGTGTAAACTAAATGGAAAATTTATGTTAATATTTATTTTGAATTTCGAAGCTCATTTATGTGGCTTTTGAAATTGACTCCCTATCTCTTCATATTTTTTCATATCTCAATGCAACTCTTTCATTTAGCCGTTGCATAATAGCTCTGGTATATTGCATCTTAACACTTGAACAATTGCCATCCCTAACCATTTCAGTCTCCACAACCTTCATCTTCTGATCTCCTTCCCCTTGTCCCCCCTTAATTGTATGTCTAAATCGATACTTGGAACTCATTTATTTTTATAAATATTTCTGAAGTCTTGAATGTTTTTAATTAAACTTTTGGGACTTAAATGTCATTCCTCATGGTTTTATGGGTTCAGGGTTATTTTTCCTCGGAAGTTTTAGTGAAGGAACTGTAGGTATTTGAATTTTCTTTTTCCCAATTCAATGTCTCCCCTGAGGTGTTAAAAATGATGCAATGTGGCCTTACTCTAGTAGCAACCCAAACAGATGTCTGCAACATTGAACCTTATGCCACATATGATTTTGCATAGGCATGACCATGCTTTCTTCGAGTTAAATGCCCACTTTTGTCTTAGAAGTATTTGTTAAAGGAACAACATGTAATCGAAAGTTTTTTTTTTTTTCAAACTCAGATTTATAGGGGAGAAAAAATTGTGATCCCTCACCTTCTTGGCAATGGCTCCTGGCTACTTCCTCCCATTGCTTCCACCACCTTCGCCGGTAAAACCCCTCTCCTTTTCTGACTAGAAAAGTGGTCATGGTTGTGGCTTCCCTAAGAAAACTGCATCCCCTGGTCACTGCCATTGCTCTAGAGAAGCTATTTTATATTCCTTTAAAATTTCGATTACTTCATTCATGCGGATCAGTTTTAGAATCAATAGTAACTCATGCATACACTTTTATTGTCTTTGAAGTGAGAAATATAACAGAAGTTTTAATATTGCAATCAATGAATTTAATAAATGAAATAAATGAATACAAATATTTCTCCACTGAAACATTTAGACTGTTTAAAAGAATCAAATGAATAATTCAATCAATTAATAAATTAGAAAGAATATCTCTGCTAAACATCATCATCCTCAGATTCTGATTCTGATTCTTGCATCTTCCAAGTACCATCTGGCTGTTGAGCTGTTGAGCCAATCCCTTGTTTGGATCAATCCTCCACGCCTTTGGGATATTATACTCATCCTTCAAAGCACCCATGCCTTTGTTCACAAGTGCAATGTCCCCTTTAACCTCTAAATTAAATCCTCCTTTGCTCTTTTGTGTTCCTGCAACTCCATGCAAGTAAACCTCCAAATTATGCCAACTCTTCACATTCCCTGGTTGTTTTAAGAAGTTTGACTTTTGAGTATCAATCATCAACTCTTGTCCTACTTCTGCATAACCCCAGAAGGGATGCCTCGGAATAATATCTTTTTTGTTACGGATTCGTAGTATCCGAAGATCCTTTTGGCCTGAGGAAAATTCCTGGAAGTCTGAGTCCCCAACTCTAGGGCTAGCAAATACAATGGCTGTGACAGGACAAGCTTTGAGAGGTTCATTTTCTGGGATGTTACATCCATTTGTGACTATGTCCATTGCATTTAGTGTTGCAAGTGTTGCGCTTAAGCCGTGTCTAGTTACTGTTATGCTGATTTCCTCGTCCTTATATTTATTAACCAGTCTTGTAACCTCAATTAGGACCTGCACAATGAGAGATCATGAATATTAAATATTTGCTTTCATGAATAAGATCAGATATATATAGTGATGGGTTTCTGTCACAGTTAGATACTGAAACATATGCATTTTACTTGAGTTCTTGCACTGGTTTGGTTGAAATCTAATTGTGATGAGTTAGTTGTTGTGTAAACAGAGTAAAAGCCTCGGTGTACTTTGCATTCGGAATCATCTCCAAAAGTGTATGGAGCATAATTCAAATGGAACTGAACATCTTTGATCCATTCCATGGCCTGTTCGGTTCCTCTCCAAGCCACCACAATGTCTCTCCTCCCTAACACGGCTTTGCCTTCATTGGTGGCCACCGCGACATACCCTATCCAGTTTGATCCTTTGACATCGTCTAATATGTGAAACTCTAGCTCTGTGGTTGCATAGAGGAACTTTGTCACCTTATACTTGAAAGTGAAAGAGAATGGTAAGCAGAGAGAGACGATGCGGGAAAGAGAAGAAAGAGAGAGTGATATATGTATCTGAATGATTCGATATCTTTCATTATGCTCTGCGTACAGTATTTATAATATACACATGACAGCTAAGCACCCTTTAACTTAACAGACTTAGTTACATACAGCTGGCTAACTTCTTTGACTATTCAACTAATACTCTAACATCCCCCCTCAATTTAACGTACATCTCCAACACATAAAAGTTTCTTAAACACAGGAAAAAGTCGACTGGATATAGCCTTAGTCAAACCATCAGCAATCTGACTAGATGAAGGGATATGCAGAACTTTAATTTCTCCCTGAATTGCACGCTCCCGAACAAAATGAAGATCAAGCTCCAAGTGTTTCGTCCGTGCATGAAGAATCGGATTGGTTGTCATCATTACTGCACTCAGATTATCACAAAAGATTTTAGGAACTTGAACAAGCTTAACTCGTAACTCCTTTAACAGTGACTTGATCCATAAAATTTCTGCAACAGTGGATGCCATGCTCCTATATTCAGCTTCAGTACTTGACCTTGACACTGTAGTCTGCTTTTTTGAAGACCAAGAGATAAGATTTTGACCAAAATAGACACAATATCCAGAGGTGCTTTTCCTATCATCTCGATCAGTGGCCCAGTCTGCATCACAAAAGGCAACCAAGGAACGATGAGTGGAAGGACAAATCTTTAACCCATGTGTTATAGTTCCTGCCAGATATCTTAGTATCCTTTTAACTGCCACCCAATGCTCTTGAAATGGTTCTTGCATGTACTGACATACTCAGTTAACAGCAAAGCTTATCTCAGGTCGAGTAATAGTGGCATATTGTAAGGACCCTACAATCATCCTATAGAGAGAAGCATTATCTACAGGTATTGTACCCTATTTAGTCATTATCAGATTTGAAGTCATTGGTGTCTTTTCTCCATGTGCTGAGGAAAAACCAGCTTTCTTCAACACACTTCTGATATACTTTGCTTGTGAAAGGAATAAAGAACCATCTGGGAATCGAGTCACCTCTATACCCAGAAAATAATTCAACTTTCCCAGATCTTTGAGAGCAAACTTGGTATTAAGAGCAGAGATGAGCTCAGAAATTGCAATCTCAGATGTGCCTGTTAAAATAATATCATCCACATACACTAACACATATGTAACTTCATCTTGTCTCATACGAATGAAAAGAGACTGATCACATTTACTATTAATAAAGCCAAACAGATTCAGC